GTTACTTTTAGGTTGGATAGATTCCTTTTAGACCCGTAGATCACATGTTATAAAATCATAAAAAGTGAAATATCTTTTCTTGTATTGGACAGATAACATTTTCTTTCACAGGACATACTTTAGGGTAATATGAATATCGATCCACTAAAACCATGGGCTTTCAAGAGAAGGGCATGCAACTCTGTGTTATAAACATGAGAACTTGAGAAATCAGTGCCATGCTTCCCTTTTTTGATAATATTTCAAAGAGCTTTAAATAAATAGATAAATGTATATGTTTTAGTATTATCTTGAAGAAAAATTAATTTTGAATACTTTTAAAGCAAAAAACATGATTAATCTCATTTAAACGTAAACAAAAAACACTGATAAGAAAGAGGTATCAAAATGTTCTCTTCAAATGTTGCACTGTGTGTAATAATTATAGAAGACATTCCAATAAAGACAAGATTTATGGGAGAATGTTCACTTTTATTATTGCCAAAATTGTGGTGAATTCCATTTTATATTAAGGTGCTATGGAAGTTAACAGGAAATGACGAAACAAAAAATGTCAAAACCATGCTGAATTTTGAAATTTTTTTGAACTAAGATAACAGAGTTCTGTTTGGACCTCCAGTCAGTTTAACTAGTTCCACATATCATTTATATGACCGGTAACACAATGAAAATGGTCAGAATGGGGGCAATATATTGGGCACATTTTCTGAAAAAGTCAAAAGATTCTGTTCAGTGACCTTTCCTGAGCACCTACTCTTAGCTATTTTTCAGTCACATTTTCAGAGGGCTGAAAAGGTTATTTCATCATGTTTATGGTCATTCTGACCATTTTCATTGTGTTCCCAGTCATGTAAATGATATGTGGAATTCTCCCTTTCACGGTTCGCTCTTTGAATCAGAACGTTCGCAAATATGTACTGAAAAAGCACTCAAAAAGGACAAAATTTGATTGGTCAATATTTTCCCACTATGCATTTCGCGTAGCTATTTGCGTGACCCGAAAGTTCTAAATCAAACTAATTACGCAATTTTGTTTTTACACCCGCACGCTTAATAAAACAACAATGACACCATCGAAAGTATTCTTCTTTGTCATTGCTTTATTAGTCAGTATACCGAGTTTAATCAATAAAAGATTGTACAAAGAACAAAAAATTCAGAAACGAGTACTAAAGATTTGCTTTCGGACCACTGAACAGATTGACCTAGATAATAACGACGCGTCTTCTTTGGTCTACTGCTCAGTTGTTGTGGGTTTTCAACGTAACTCTATAATGTAATTTTTTCCTCCACGAACTGCATCATGGGAAATATTTTGACCTTATAAGGAAAGATAACAGAACTCTGTTATCTTGGTTCAAAATTTTTCAAAATCCAGCATGGTTTTGACATTTTTTGTTTTGTCATTTCCTGTTAACTTCCATAGCACCTTAAATCATCAACATGTATGCAGAAGAGATAATCATGTTTTTATTTTTGAGTTAAATCATACATGAAAAGTACAAAATAAGATTTTTCTGGAATTGGTACAGGAAGCATTTTTCTCCAATTTTTAAAACCCAAGGCAATACTTATGTCATGCATACCTGCCAACCTAAGACCAAATTTTTTTTTTAAATTGCTGTATTTTTGCGGTAGATTTTTTCAAAATACGGTAGTTTTTGCGGTATTTTTCAACAAAATTGCGGTAGTTTTTGCGGTAGATTTTAGAAAAAAACGGTAGTTTTTGCGGTAGATTTTAAAAAAAACGGTAGTTTTTGCGATAGATTTAAAAAATACGGTAGTTTTTGCGGTAGATTTTAAAAAAATACTGTAGTTTCAGAGGTTTGGGGTAGATTTTTGAAAAAAGTGTAATTTTGCGGTAGAATTTTGAAAAAAGCGGTAGTTTTGCGGAAGATTTAGAAAAAATGCGGTAGTTTTCCGGTAGATTTTAAAAAATGCGGTAGTTTTTACGGTAGTTTTTGAAAAAAACGGTAGTTTTGCGAAAGATTCTGAAAAAAATGCGGTAGTTTAACGGTAGATTTTGAAAAAATGCGGTAGTTTTTACGGAAGCTTTTTGAAAAACTGGTAGTTTTGCGGAAAATTTTGAAAAATGCACTAGTTTTACGGTAGATTTTGAAAATTGCAGTAGTTTTTACGGTAATTTTTTGAAAAACCGGTAGTTTTGCGGAAGATTTCGAAAAAATACGGTAGTTTTACGGTGGATTTTGAAAATTGCAGTAGTTTTTACGGTAATTTTTTGAAAAACAGGTACTTTTGCGGAAGATTTGCCAAAATGCGGTATTTTTTACATGACCGGGATCACAATGTTCATGGTCAAAATTGACCACCATGCTGAAATAGCTTTTTCAGCCCTCAGAAATTGTGGCTGAAAAAAGTTAAAAGTTTGCATTTCCGAAAGGTCACTGAACAGAATATTTTTTCTGTTCAGTGACCTTTCCGAAATGCTTATTTTTTCCATCAGATTTTCAGAGGGCTGGAAAAGCTATTTTGGCATGGTGGTAAAGGTCATTTTGACAATGACCATTGTGTTCTTGGCCGGCCATGTAAATAACATTTGGGAGTAGTACAACTGACTGAAGATCAAAGCAGAACTCTGTTATTTTACTTCAAAAAACTCTAAAATCCAGATGGTTTTTCATTTCCTGTTTGGTGTATTTCTGATAGTCTAACTACCCCGAGACCTAATGTGACCATAATATAATTAATTAATGTTCGCTCGACACTCAGCTCAAGAAACATTCCAATTTTTTTGATATTGAACTTCCTTAACTTTGTCGCAAACAATCAATTAACACTGTTACTGTTCAGCATTGATTTCTTGAATTTGCATTGTAACACATGTAAGGCTACACCTATACTCACATAGCAAGCAAATTTAGTCTTGGGAAGTCACATAAAGACTGAGGCATTGCCGCACAGAAAGGGGAGATGACATTGAAATCCATAAAGTAAAACTGGTAGGAAGTAGGCACAATCAGAGGCAGAATCAGGGAGTTCTGGAAATGCAAAAAGAAATACTTAGCTATGATAAAATATTTTTGCGCATGCGCAATATGACCCAAAATATGCTCCCTAATTTTGAAACGACATGGGTCATTTGGAGGCTCTGACATCGAGCTGAACTCCAAGACCTGATGCTATTTACATCAAATATACAATATTTATTATCACATTAATGTGTGATTAAATTTCTAGAATCCTATGTGCAATAAAAGACACTGAAATTTGATGATTGCCTCCTAACTTAAAAGAATTTCAAAAATCAAAAATTACACCATCATATTTCAAATTATGTGTTTTCAAACTACGTTTTCTAACAGAAATACTACACTTACTTAAAAGCCGTGAATTCCATCGTAATCCCCTGGAATCTCTGAATCCAGTTAACATGATCGATTGATCTACATATCCATGAATCTACTCTAAATCCGTTCAAATAGGCTGAGCCAGTTCAATTTGTTTTCAGCGCCATCGATACTTTAAAATTACGAACGGAAGGGAAAGACCCCTTGAAATCAACTGAAAAATGATAAAACAGTTAGCGATTATTGTTTTGTTTGACATTCTCTCTTGATCTTAAGTACAGTAATGCCAAGTTGGTGCTCAAACTCATCTACAAACAATTTATGAATGACCGATGATGTTGTTTTGTGGCTGAAATGCAAAATTTAAAAAACAGGTCACGTGACCTAAGAAGGTCCTTTGGCATTTCAGCAATTTGGCGGATTCAGGAGTAGAAACCGCTCCAGATGATGGCTTCAAATTGCTATAAAAACTTCGAATTGATGCACAATACGGCTGACTTCTACGTATTTAGATCATACGCATACGTTGAATTCAAGAATTAGTTGCTAAAAGGCTAAAAATACTGAAAACTTCGAGTCGAAAGACGACCCTCTTCAAAACCCAGGGCTTCACCATTTTGGATAATTTTGACACGACAAGATGACTGGACCGTAATTGATACAAGTCTCCTGATAAAAGTACTTATCCAGATATTTTTATATTTACACATCATATGTATTTTAGACTACATTTTGTTTTGCAATAGATTTTTAACCACAGATCTCTAAGAAAAAAATTTGCCCAAAACATTCTAAACTTATGTTCTCTCAGAATTTTTTTTGTAATTTAGCTGATTTTCTGATCACATATTTTTTTCGACGTGAAGAAATCAATTCCCAACAAAAACTTAATGCGGGGATGGGGGACTACACGTCAATTTTGTCATCTATTGGTTATTTTGTATCGGCTAACTACGGGTTTCATCCGAGATTGAGTGTTTACAACCGCAGGGGACCATGTCAAAATCGATCCCTGAGAATTAACATTTTTTTCTGAAAATCAATTACTGCTGACTTAGTGGCTGATAACTCAAGAAATATATAAGAATGGGCAATAAAACGTTCAAATCACGTCCGCGAGTAAAGGGGGGTGCTTTTTCTACTAAAATCACATAAATAACCAATCTCAGAAAAAAATGCCCAAAACATGTATACGACCCCAATTTTCCAAATTATCGAAACCCAGTTTCAAAACTTTTCTCTTTGAGGTCTTCTTCCTCACCCACCATACCTTATTTAGCTTATTATTTGTTAAATATAGTTACATCCCGATATCTCCAAACGTTTCCCTAAATATCAGCCAAAATCATTACGTTTATCAATATTAAATATCAATTCATGCACAGGTGTCATTTTACGTGATTTTTCGAGGCGGGACTATATTCTGTAGAAAAGCACGATTTTCGCGTAGTTTTCAGGTTAATGCCGAATCACCGCGACAATTGATTTCTGGGTTTGGCTGCCCAGCTGCTATGGTCGAAATAGCCCCATGACAAAGTAACCCCAAATCTACCCAGGTGACTTTAAATATGACATGCTGGATGTTTTCTCTCAGTTTCACTTTGTACTGTTTCAGAATACTCACTTGTATAAATGCTGTGTGTTTTAGATCAATGTTTTGGTGAAATATAAATTTCTCTTTTTACATTTCAGGTGATGGTCTGGCGATGTTGGAAGAAGACCAGAACCAGTTTGAAAAGGAGAATGTCTTTGTACAGGTACTTGTGGCAATAAGAATTATCCTACCCCTGAACATGCCCATTGGCCCACCCCTGAACATTTCCCTTGCCCCACCTGGAAATGGCACTTGGCCCACCTGAACATGCTCCTTGGCCCATCCGAACATGCCTCTTGGTCCACCCCTGAACATGTCCTTTGGCCCACCTGAACATGCCCCTTGGGCTGCCCCTGAACATGCCCCTCAGTCCACCCCCTGAATTTTCCCCTGGGCTATCCACTATTCTGGAGTATGTCATGAGAATTTCATACCAAATTAACAAATGATACAGTCATAATAAGCTGTCATGTTATTTTCCAAAGTATAACAATTTTCAGCTGGTCATTTATTAAATTCACTATTTGGCAAGTTGTTGTATTAACATCCCTTAATTATCCCACCGAACGAAGTTCGAGGGGGATATAGAGAAGCCGTCCGTCCGTCCGTTTGTCCGTCCGTCTGTCCGTCCGTCCGTGTGTCCGGGCGATAACTCCAATACCGGTTGATGGATTTGGTTCAAATTTTATAGGCTTATGCCTTATGAGTGTAGGACCTCTGCTAGAGAAGGAATTTTCAATATGGCCGCTCAATTTAAAATGGCCGCCATTTTTCGTAAAAAATGTAATCGTTGATAACTCAAATACAAGTTGACGGATTTGGTTCAAATTTTATATGCTGATGCCTCGGGACAAAGGAGTTTCGCACAAAAAGAGATTTTCAAGATGGCCGCTTAATTTCAAAATGGCGGCCATTTTTCGTAAAAATATGTAATCTTTGATAACTCAAATACCAGTTAACGGATTTGATTCAAATTTTATATGATGATGCTTAGGGACACAGTAGCTATGTTTGACAAAAATTTTTCAAGATGGCCGTTTAATTTCAAAATGGCGGCAATTTTTAGTAAAAAACCTAATCTTTGATAACTCAAATACCAGTGAACAGATTTGGTTGAAATTTTATATGATTATGCCTAGGGACACAGTAGCTCTGTTCAAGAAATAATTTTCAAGATGGCTTCTGAATTTCAAGATGGCGGCCGATTTTCGTAAAAAACGTAATCTTTGATAACTCATATACCAGTGAACGGATTTGGTTCAAATTTTATATGATGATGCCTAGTTCACAATGGTATAAACTAACTTTGTGCCAAATTTTATGCTTCTATCACAAAGTGCACAAACATTTCAACTTTTACACTAGCTATAATAAGCATAATATGTTTTGTTCGGTGGGATTTGCTACTCCGTGGAGTTGCTGTTTTTCTAGTTATGGATATGGTATGCTATTCAAATACATGAATCCATTTTTGCAATATTGATATTCATATTTTTCTCCTCACTCGTTGAGTATTCTCGAGTCAGTATGGTGTATTCGGGTTCTCAAAAGTTTTTCAAACTAATTGGAAATCACCTTTTAATATTTCTTAATGGAGAACCACACACACTGCCATCTCCAAAACTTAACCCTTCAAGGTCTCAAAGTAAGGTACATGTACTGTATAAGTGCATGGTCATTTTGCTGAGATGACAAAGATTCACCAAAAATTAAAGTTAAGAACGAATTTTACCTTAATCATCATTAATGATTATGAAAAATTCTTGAAGAAGTTCTTTCTCCTTTGTATTCAGGAAGAACAAATGCAGGAATCTGTCCATCAGAATCCAGATGAGTCGTGGGCCTACAAGACAAGTGAACATTTTCATGAGCGTCCATCCTGGCTCTCCCCTAAGGAGTCATCTGATAGAAGTGATTTTATGCGTATATCTATCGGGAGGTTTATCGGAGGCAGAACTGAGGCATTGGGCTCTCTTGGAGATTCAGCTGCAGCGGAACGGGTGAGTCACATATGGAATTGTTTCGATGATGTCTATGAAATTGCCAACCCAATTACCAGTCCATTTATCCATATTTCCATCCAATTGTCCATTGACAATTTTCGGATAAATGACAATGGATGTCAAAGCCACATACGGAATATTTTGGCTCTTGTGAGTCCGTAGAATCATAATTTCTTCCATCTCTGTCTATTTTCTGCTCATTCATCCATCAACATTTTTCAGGCAAATAAAAACTACAGGTGTAGTTTGTTACATACTGTGAAATTTTTTTTATCTGGTGACCAATTGTACAGAAAATCTGTGTGATTGGAACATGTTAAGAAAAAAGTGTTAGATACTTGAGAGATGTTCTACTTATAGAGTGTTACCAGGTTGTGACAGTAGTAGTCATTTACATGCAAAAGATGGCTCCATGCTATGGAGCAATTATTAAACAAGTGCACAGCTTTTGGACATATAAATTTTGTGATATCACACTTTTGAATGATTTGATCAAATGAACTACACCCAGTGATGGAATATATGAAACAAATATACGAGTTTTACATGAAACTTCACTTTATTTACTTTAACTATGTGTATAATTTGGAGTCTTGTCAGTTGAGCTGTATATTATAACATGTATAAATTCTTATGACTTTCTGTATTAAGCAAAAATGATTATGCATTAATATATCTACACATTAGGTTGTTTCTGTGAACTACCATATTCTATATGTAATAAGCGCCTGGAGTGTTAAGAAAATTCAAAGTACATTTACCTCCTCTTCAGACCATTTTAATAAGTGCCCATATATGAAAGAAGTAAAAAAAACAAGATTTTCATGTACTGTATCCTCTCTAATAGACACACATGCTGTAATGAACGCACAACCTACTTTTCCATGAAAGACTCTGGCAACTTGAGTAACAAAAATCAAGAAAAGAATATAATTTATTCAAAAAATGATTGGGAGATAATAGGTTAGCTAAAACAATTGTATAAAAGATGTATATTAAATTTTTCAAATTTAGTTGTTGCCATTCTATAACCATTAAATTGAGGATGTGTATTTTTCCGATTTTTTGGGATAATCTGTTTAAGCAGAAAAATGTAAAATTTTGTTCACCAAATCATTACCAGTCCTCTAGCATCTCATTTGGTAATTAAAAGAAACAAACAACAATTTGAGTAAAATTGAAGAAAGCTATAATACAGCCTTTCTATATATTCACATCTTTTTCATACAACCAATTACAACATTTAATGTAATATACATGTACACACAAGGTTGAATCTGAAGAAATCTCTACTCTAGGGCATGTCCCTTTATAAAAAAGTCTTCATTTTGAGTGATTATTCATTGTCTTCTTGTCTTGTTCCACTCTTATTTCAGTCTTCATTACAATATTGTTTTAATTATATGATTTTTTCATGTGATGTTACAATGGAATTGAATATGAACATAATGAAAAAGCTTTTATTGTAGATGTAGATATAGGGTATCTTTTCTTAGACTCCTGGCTAATATAATATGATGTTTGATATTATTTTTCTCATTACCAGTAAGTTTTAAACTTTTAACATGGATCATAATATACACATACACCCCGTTGAATATCCTTTTCATGCATTGTATAAAAATTGTGGTTTGATATTTTAAATGAAATAAATTGAATTGAATTGAATTGAATAAAAAATTAAAAGTAGAATCAGGAGTCTAATTTACTATAGTGATTTGGGATCACTGATTAGTGAAGGTACAAAATTGGAGTTATTCAAGAAGAATGTACTGGGACCTTCTTGCATGTAAGTATATGCTTGAAAGCTTTCCTATAGTCCCTATTTGTAAGATAAATTACAACATTTGTTAATGAGTTACACATTAGAATCAATCCAGTACCATACCTCATTCCTGAACTGATGTATTTCCCAAGGTTCATAGAATACAGGAATACACAAACGAAATGAGGAATATAGCAAATGACAAAGGATAAGAGAATAAAGCTTATGAGTTTAGTCAGGTTTGACATGCGCAGTGTCCATCGACGATAAAGTGAGTTTGTTAATGCTTCAGAACTTTGCGAGTTGTTCTGATGCTGCTCTCTGGTTGTTCCTACTGTAGCATTATCATTGGAACATCCAGGTGTTGGACTTAACAATCCAAGTTTTGTACTAGAGCTACTAGGTGTAAGTTTGGAGCCTACAGGTGTAAGGTCGGAGTTTCCAACTGAAAGATGTAAGGATACAGTTGGTTGATTGGAGCTACCAGGTGTTTCATTTGAGCATCCAGGCGTTTGATAAGAGCTACTTGTTGTTAGAGTAGTGCTTCTTGGTAAAACTCTATCACGTCTTGGTAGACCCGTAGAAAACACATTAGAATTTTCTGGAATCAGGCCACGGTCTCTCAGATACTTTATATGTTTTGAGAGGTTCTTAAATGTCAAACATTGAAGTGTGGCGAGCACAATTAAGTGCAAGAGTGCAATGATGCAAAGTCCCATCAAATGATATTCATGGATTAGACCATTGCTAATATAACACGATAAATGTTTACGCCTGTTGTTATGAAACAAAAGAAAACTGCAGATATATACCATCCATAGAGCTATAGTTGATGATATCAGAGCGTAGGCAGTTTTCTTTGAAAATGCGCTTTTTACGGATGCTTGTCTGGTTGATATATACTTTTCAATCCAAAGTAGTAGAACACCCGTCATTGTCACTCCACCTGAGGTTGTCGTAAAAATGTTTATGATAAGACAGGTTATTGTCTTATGCAATGTACCAGAAAGTTCTAAGATTCCACGTGCCATCAATAGAACTCCAAATACAATGTCATTCATAGCTAGATATCCATGGAATATATTTGAAACTGACTGCAATTTTTTATAGCGCATGATTGACAATATGACTAAAAGGTTACAGGAAACTATCATAACTGCCACAATAATTTGCAGTATTAGTCCTTGTAAATTCAGTTTTTCTTTAAATTCAAAATCTCTTTGAGTAATATTTGTGCAGTTGTCATCCCTACTGAGGTTGCTGAATAGTGTGCAGTTGGCCATTGTAATGTGCTGCCCTGTGACAGAGTGTTCTGATAAGTCTTGCTGAAACTCTAGACTGGTCGGAATAAGAAGTGACAGTTGTATATATATCACATGGTGGAGAATTATTTAATGTTCTTAATACACAGTGGTGATACCAACTACATTAGATCCTGCAGTACAGCACATAAATTGTTATAAGCATTATAATCCAGTTTATGTAAAATCTACTTGTAGCCATTAACATGTTAATTATCCCATTGTACATTATAAAGCCGTCCATTTGTTCGTTTGTCTGTCTGTCCGTGAGAACTCAAATACATTCTTTTATTTGATTTATTCATTAAAACATAATAACATTTGTACCTTTTTGTGGCCATAACACCTACATAGGTAAATGATTGACCACATTTAAAATTATTAATCTAAAATTTTCGAGCGTAAGTTTAAGTGTAAGTTTTACACAATATGACACTGGGTAAACTATAAATCATAAACCATACATACTGGTTGATGGATTTGATTCAAATTTTATAGGACCTCTGCCTAAGAAGGAATTTTCAATATGGTCGCTCAATTCATAATGGCCACCATTTTTTCTAAAAGATGTAATCTTTGATAACAAAGGAGCTGAATTTCAAACAGTCACCATTTTTCGCAAATCTTTGATAACCCAAATACCAGTAGACAGATTTGGTGCAAACTTTTTTTTTTTTTTTTTTTTTTTTATAATTTTTTTTTATTTCAAAGAATAAGCATGTTAAAGCAATTGCAAAAAACAATTACAGTACAGTTACATGGTAAACCTACATTTAACAATTTTACAATACAGTACAGTGGTTAAATATTTCGTCTTAAGAGACGTTATACCATTGGCATTTTTTTTATTTATTTAAAGGAAAAAATCATCAGTTTCATTTGTTTAATTTTGTTTCCATGATTTTCCACTTATCGCCTCTGCCAACCCGTTTGTCCATAATAAAATATTCCTTCACATTACTTATAAAACCTTTAAGTGTTGGTTTTAACATAGAATATTTGCACAAATAAACATACCTTTTAAAAATACATAGCATATTATTTAAGATGATTGTCTTCTCATTTATACTCTCAGGTCCTATCAATACATTTTGTTTAGTGCATAGCAATGTGAGCTCTAAAGGAAGCCATTGTTTAATGTCATTTAATACGGCATTTACAATAGTACATTCATACAGAAGATGGCAAATCGTTTCAGGATTTGCTTTACAGAAAGTGCAAATGTTTGACTCTACGAGTCCACATATTTTTAGGTATGTATTAGTTGCTAAAAATCTGTGAAGGACTTTATAAGTGAAGGATGATAACTTAGGTTCATAGTTACTCAGTTTGTTAAGTTTATTTATCTTCTTCCAATCATTTTGATTGAGTGACAAATTCAGATCTTTATTCCATCCTTCTATATATTTGCAACCTTAATATGCTGATGCCTAGAGATGAAGGAGCTCTGCTCAAAATTTTCAAGATTGCTGCTGAATTTTAAATTTATTATTTTATCTTTATTTGTCAATTATTATTATAATAAAGATATAATAACTAGACTTTTGAAGATTGCAAGCAATCTCACGGAGGCCCTCTTAGGCATTTTTGACAATTTGAAGGTCAACTAAAGGACAAATATCAAATCTGAGGTCAGATGTGAACTCCTGAAAACTTGTAGATGATTTTCAAAAAAAGATTTTGTCAATTTGAAGCGAGTTTAAATTTGACCTTGAAAGATTTCGAAATTGACCTTTTTTCAACTTTTGAACTCTTATATCTCAAACTGGGACAAAATTCAATTAGATAGTCAATTGCTAATATGTGTACAACCCTTAGAGGAATGTGTTTATTTCGACTCAGGATTAAAAATATTGGTTTGTAGTCGAACTTTGCGAAACTTAGATAGCACAGTTTGTGACCTAATTTCATAATCTTGACCTTTGACTTTG